GTGGCTCAGCCTGTAATCCCTTGCTTGGGGAGGCTGAGGTGAATGGATTGCCTGAGCCCGCGGGTTCAAGACCCACCTGGGCAATTTGGCAAGACCTCATCTCTATAATAAATCAAAAAAATTAGCTTGTCATGGTAGTGCATACCTGTAGTTCCAGCTACTTGGAAGGCTGACGTGAAAGGATCGCTGGAGCCCAGCAGATTGAGGCTGCAGTGGCTGGGAGCATGCCACTGCACTCCAATTTGGGCAACAGAGTGAGACTCCAACTCAAAAAACAAAATTTCTTTCTTTGTCCTTAACTTAAAAATTCTATCAAAGAGATTTAGAAAGTTTTTGGGTCTTAACCTAGATTGTGTAGAAATTTTATAAGTAAAATGATGTTGAAAATATTTTGAACTTAGTCAGGCATAGTGATGTGCGTCTGTAGTTCTAGCTACTTAGAAGGATCACCGGAGCCCAGCAAGTCGAGGCTGTGGTGGCCGGGAGCGGCCACTGCACTCCAGTCTGGGCGACAGAGTGAGACTCCAACTCCAAAAATAAATAAATAAATAAAAATAAATAAATAAAAATCAGCCTTCCAGAAAGAGTGAGCTACTATTAACTGATAATTCTTTTCCAGTGATCTTTTCCCCCTCCTTTGCTTTGGAAAGCAGTGTGGGGGGTTTATCTGACACTTAGCATCATTATTATTTGCAAATCCGCAAGTGACCTCATGAATTAGGTAGCCCTACCCCCTTACCTCACTGTTCTCTGACTGTGCTTTCTCCCACAGGACATGATCCACATTGCAGACACCAAGGTTGCCAGGCGCTATGGAGATTTCTTTATTCGTCAGATACACAAATTTGAGGAGGTAAGAGATCTAGAAGAGTGGCTTGTTTGCTGGGAAAATATTTTTTTTATTTATCATTTCTATTTTCAAGAAAGCCTGAAATTGAGCCAGGCATGGTGACTCACACTCATGATCCTAGCACTTTGGTAGGCCAGGGTGGGAGGATTGCTTGAGGCCAGGAGTTTGAGAGCATCCTGGGCAACATGACAAGACCGGCATCTCTACAAGAAATAGAAAAATTAGCCCATTGTGATAGCATGCCCCTGTAGTCCTAGCTACTTGGAAGGCTGAGGTGGAAGGATTGCCTGAGCCCAGAAGATTGAGGCTGTGGTGAGCTGTGATTGCGCCACTGTACTCCAGCTTGGAAGACAGAGTGAAACTCTTGTCTCAAAGAAAAAAAGAATGAAAGAAAGCTCCTAATTGGCCCTTTAAGTTTCTGAGCTAGACTGGCTGGCTGCTTGGGGTTTGGGGTGCAGGGTTGGGCTGGTGAGAATTGCTGTGTCAGCCTTCTCTGGGCATCTCTTTCCAAGATCTCCCTCTGCGGGTGGCCAGCTCTCCTCTCCCTCTCTGGCATTTCCTAATATGGATGGATTCACTGCCTGCCGTTACCCATCCCTCCCCATTTGGCAGTGTTCTCCAACTTAGACAGGTCTGGCCAGTTCCTACAGGCTGGAGGACAGGGAGCTCTGTTTTGACAGACTTGTTAAATTCCTTTTCTTTACCTAGGAGAAGTCTTTTGGGTCAGGCCAAACATTGCAAGGGTGTGGGGCTCTTTTTGTGACCTCCTCTGGAGCCACTGTGTCCTGATCTTGAGTCCTCCAGCAGAGGTCAGACTCCTCCTGCAGGATCATAACACAGCCCTGGTGCTCTTTATACCTTCTAGCAGTTCAGTTCATATCTGTCAGGGTGGTAGGCTAGGGCTGTCTCCTTAAAAGATCCTGTTTTTTTGTGCAAGGGGAAAGCCGAGGAAGCTTCTGATTCTTCTCCCAGCTAGACTAGGAATCATGCAAGTCTAGCCCCTCTGAATCCCCTTCCTGTCTGTCAGAAGAGTAGATCAGTATAGTGTGGGTTTGTTGAGTTTGAAGGGTAAACAATCTGCATGCACTGTATAGGGCTACGTGAATGTTGTGGCTTTGCACACGCAGTGGACATCCACACCAACGACTCCCCTCTCCTGGCTCAGAGGGGCAGCTGGGAGTCTGACTTGTAATAATACACACTATAGAAAAAGCACTGGAGAAAGCCCCACATCTAATTTTGCTTTTCTTTTTGTTCTAGCTTAATCGAACCCTGAAGAAGATGGGCCAGAGACCCTGAAGGCATTCACACTCATATTATTCAGGAACTTGTTTTGATATCATTGTAGATGGGAGGTGTTTTTGTTATCGTGAAACCTTCACTTAGATCGGCCATCAGCCTGTCAACTAAGTTGAAATTTTTTCAAACTAAGGACTGAAATGTTTTAAGTAGATCTTAGTAAAGGATCTTTAGAGCCAGATTTTGTCTCTTTATTGTGGGGGAGACTCTGGATCGTGACAGCAGGACAATATTTCACATGTCATGATGCATCAGTGATTAGTGTTAAGTTGAATTATTTAATCCCTTGTGTTCATAAAGTGCTATACAGTTTGCAGGACATTTTCACATCTGTATCTTTTTTGTGCCTCCCAAGAATCCTATGAGCTTTCAATGATCTACTGTAATTTTGCATGGCATGTTAGTGGCAGTGCTGGGTCCTGGAAGGAAACTATTGAACACCTCCTACTTCCAGGAACCATCCAAAGAGGTATCTCTATACATTGCTTAAACCTACAGCTCAGATTTTATAGTAGTTCATCTAATTTTATTGATGAGGAGATAGACTTGGCCAAGGTCACATAGCTGTAAAAAAGCCAAGAAATAGCCAGGCACAGTGGCTCATGCCTGTAATCCCAGCACTTTGAGAGATGGAGACGAGAGGATTACCTGAGCCCAGGAGTTCAAGACCAGCCTGAAAGTGTGGCGAGACCTCATCTCTACAATAAATAAAAAAATCAGCTGGGCATGGTGGCGCACGCCTGTAGTTCCAGCTACCTGGCAGGCTGAGGCAGAAGGATCACCTGAGCCCAGCAGGTGAAGGCTGCGGTGGCTGTAAGTGTGCTACTGCACTCCAGCTTGGGTGACAGAGTGACACGCCAAGTCAAAAAAAACCAATAATTAGCTCCAAACTACTGCTTTTTTCTACTGTCTTCTGCCCCGATTGGCACCTGTTTCAAACCAAGCTGAACCTGCCGGGTGTGGTGGCTCACTCCTGTAACCCCAGCAGTTTGGGAGGTGGAGGTAAGAGGATTGCCTGAGCCCAGGGGTTTGAGACCAGCCTGAGCAGCTTGGCAAGACCTCATCTTGACAATAAACCAAAAAATTAGCCGGGTGTGGTGGTGTGCACCTGTAGTTCCAGCAACTAAGGAGGATTGCCTGAGCCCATAGGTTTGAGACTGTGGTGGTTATGAGCGTGCTGCTGCACTCCAGCCTGGGCAACAGAGTGAGACACTGACTAAAAACAAAAACAGTGCTGGACCTGCTCTGGATGCCTGTCATGGAGACTTGCAGTGGTGGACAGCAGCTAGAGCTTGGTGGATCACCTGAGCAGCAGCTGTGAGTTTGCCACTGCACTCCAGCCTGGGTGACAGAGTGAGACTTCAACTCATAAGGAAAAAAAAAAATCTTTTTTTTTTTTTGAGTTGGAGTCTCACTCTGTGGCCCAGACTGGAGTGCAGTGG